ACTTGCTTTCAGAAAGTAGAGCAGGGAGTCTTAGCTTCACTCAACCATAATCAATAAGTTGCCATTCAAGTCCTGTAAAGTTTGCAAAGGTCAGGGATACCTTATACCCAGCAATAAGAGACAATCTGGCAGGTAATCAAAACTTTTGTTTTACAAATTTAGAATAAGATTATTCTCTCTCTAAAGGAACTCTTTATTCGGTAGAACTTACAACTATGTTTTTCTCAATAGCAATAAGTGTTTTGAGGAAGTGAATATAGCTACTTATTTATCATGTCAATGTGTGTTCATTCACAAATTCTGGGAGAATCTGATTGAATAATGAAAACAAAACCAAAAGGTTACAAGCCCTGAGAGGTGAGTTTGCAATCTACCATATTTAGTAAGCCATTTCATCATAAAAATTCCCAAGTTTTAAATTTGATTTTCTCTACTGGTTCAACTTCAACAAGGACTAAGACTAGGACCAAACAAACATACCCTCTAAATGGTTCAACTGATCTCCAAGTGTATGTTCATACACTTCTCAAACCTAAGACTTCAACCTTCAACAGGTAAGCAACAGTTGAATGACCATTTAAAAAATAAAAGTATCAACTTAAAATTTTTACTCTTAAACAGTGTTTTTACCATCACTTCATCTTTACAGCTGTAATCTGTGATGAACTACCAACCAGATGACTGGACTGGACAACATGTTAACCATTGGAAAAATATTCTACACTGCTAGTGCTGTATTACATGCAGGTGACTTTCTGGGAATTCTACCTTTGATCTTACCTACTGATATGTTATTGTCCTGTGGTAATTGTTTTTCCTCCAAGTATTTCTGACTAACAAGTGTCCTAATTTAGATTTAAAAGAAGAATGACACTGTAAATGCTAAAGATTTGTAATCTAAGGTACACTGTTTGTGAGATGTCTGCTTCCTCCAAACAAGTTGGTGGAACATCAAATCTGAAATGCTTCACGAATTAGATATATTGTACGGCGGGATTTTAGTGATTACAAAAAAAAAAATGTACCTGCTAATTGCTTGCTTTACAGAACAACTGTTTGGTGACGCAATATTAAGCCCTTGGCTGAGCTCTATTTGAACTTGATTTAATAGTGACAGAAAAATACTCTTGGCCCGTCTTTGTGAGATTTCCGCTTTCCCTAAAAAAGTTGGTGGAACATCAAAATTTGAAACACTTAATGGAGTGGATTGGCCTAAATAATAGTAAATGCATGAGAATTCTATTGTTTTGTGCTATCTTTACAGAAGAATTGTTGGTGAGGCACTGTGGACCCCTCAGTTTATGTATTCTTTATTTTAGCTAGATGTGACAGTGAGAGGAAAATGTAATTTGACTGTCTATGTGTGATGTTTGCTTTCTCTGAACAAGGAGGTGGAACATCATATCTATAATAGTGGAAATATCGTCATTTTTGGCTGTTTTTCGCTATTTTCACCCCTGTATGAAATGGGGACGAGTTGGACTACCCTAGCCAGCGGCATATCGTCTGACTCGGTTTTTAGCGTAGATTACGATTCTGACAACAGTTATGATCTACAATAAATATTTTGAGCCCTGGGCCTAATTTGTGGTTTTTCTTAAGATCGCCCATAAGAAACTCATGTTAAACTTTGAACCGACTTCGCGAGGGTCAAATATTGTCCAATTTCGCTCAGATTTTGACAGGAGGCCTTTTTCTTGAGGCATCACGGAATAAGACATGAACACTCGGAAATTTTTACCATGACCTTTTTTTGGGGTACCATAACCCACCACTAAAACCTAGAAATCCCCCAGATTCACCCTGGTGAAAACGCATAAAGTTTTTGTGCCCTACATAAAGCAATTTGAACAATATGACTACCCTGGGCCAACAAGGTAAAGCTCGGTCCTCAAAAGGACAAAACTAAAAAATGGCTGATACATTTGTGCTACAAGCACAGAAATTTTATAACTGTTCACAGTCCTTGCAGTTGACCAAGTTTTAAACGCAATAAAACATTATCGAAACAGCAATTATCGAAACACTGGGAAAAATAAGACACGATTTGTCAATTGTCTTTATAGCTTCTAGTCACGCGCGGTAATAGTCTTCAATGCATACTACGAACAAGGGAATCGACCTATGAGAACAATTTACAAAATGTACACTATTAGTATACGGTTTGCATTGGTTTGCATTGTCGGTATTTCCTAAATTAAGTTAGATTCAATACCACTTCCTCTTACCGAATCAAAGACTGTTATATAACTTGCTACATAGAAGGGGGGGGGGGGGGGGCGCCGGCGGATGCTCCCGAACGCGCTCAAAAATTTGGCTTGACGGCTGCCCTATCGAACGCCTGCCCGGCCGCGCGATGGGAAAGGAGAAGAGAGATGTGGCGTTAGTGGCCGGTCCGAACGCTGCAACGAACAAATAGTATGTTCCCTGGAAATAATAGTAGGCTCACTGCTTATTCTGTCCGCGTATTTCTCTGCTCTGTGCAATGCAGGTCGAAGGAAAGGGGGGGGG